CAATACCAATCAGGTTTCAGAAAAAGGCACAGCACTATCACAGCAGCAATGAAGTTGGTGAATGACATCATTGTAGCACTTGACAAAAAGCAGTTCTGTGCTTCTCTTTTTATTGATCTCTCAAAAGCTTTTGACACTGTAGACCATGCTATTTTAATACGCAGGCTACTTCTTATTGGATTGTCGGAGAATGCAGTTGCTTGGTTTGCAAATTATTTCCAAAAAAGGACCCAGTGTATAAAACATGAGGACCTTTGCTCTGAATTTGTTACTGTCCACAAGGGGGTGCCACAGGGATCTGTTTTGGGGCCCCTTGATGCAAACATACATTTTTATGCTGATGATACTATTATTTATTGCGTTGGATCATCACTTGAGCAGGTTGTTGATTCTCTGCAGAAAGTCTTTGTTTCTGTTCAGAATTCTTTTTTTAATCTAAAACTACGTCTCAATGCTGACAAGACAAAGCTAATGCTTTTTTCAAAACATAAGAAGCTACCTCCAGCTCCCCCAGTGGTGTCCACTCTTGAGGGGAATGTCATTGAAGTGGTGCATGAATACAAATACCTAGGAGTTATAATTGATGATGCCCTCACTTTTTTTTTATAATATTTTATTTACATTTTCAATTTAAAAAACAAACAAACAATCAATCAGGGCTCAGATGCAACGTTTGTCATTCTTTACAGTCATATTTGGTACAGTGGTAGGAGAGAAGGTTGTTCGCACAGGAACATAATTAGTTTATTTTTACTTTTTCAAAATGAGCCAAAAATGGGTTCCAAGAACGGAGAAATATGTCCATGTGACTAGTGCGGAGTTTTTCCATTTGTATGATGGATAACATATCAGCGATCCATAACTGAAAGCAAGGGGGAGTGGGAGACTTCCACGCTTTCAGTATCAGTCTCTTGGCAACAATCAATCCCAGATCCAATGGTTGCTGCAATAAAGTTGGAATTGTCCTTGTTGTTTGTGAGCAGCCAAAAATAACAAGTCCAGGCTCAGGCTGGAGGGGCCTTTTATATGCCTTGGAGTACCATTCAAATATTTTAGACCAGAAGTTTGTCAATGAAGGGCAGGCCCAAAAAGCATGGGACAGGGTACTCTCTGAGATGTTACATCTGTCACACACTGGGGAAACTGATGGATACATTCTGTGTAATCTGGCTTTGGAATAATGTAGGCGATGGACAATCTTAAATTGAATTAATTGGTGCCTGCTGTTTATAGAGCAGGAGAGGATATTAGACAAACAGGAGTCCCACATGGCCCCAGACAGTTCAACACCCAACTCTTCTCTCCAAGCATCCCTTGTTTTCACAGTGTGTGCAGTAATACAGTCATCAAGTAGATGCACAATTCTTGAGATAAGATGTCTGGAGAAAGGAGGGCCTGTACAAATATCATAAACTTCATGTTCCAAGGGTAGAATTTGGAAATTTTCAATTTTTGTTTGGGTGTAATGCCTAACCTGCAAATACCGAAAGAAATGAGAGTTCGACAGATTATATTTTGCTTTCAGTTGATTAAATGATGCAAATTTGCCATCGACGTACAGATTATTAATTGAGACCAAGCCCTTCCTCCTCCAGTCATGGTATGAAATGTCATGCCAGGGAGGCAGAAAACAATGGTTAAAACAAATGGGTGTTTGCACCGATGTATTTGGAAGTTTTAGAAAACTCCTAAACTGGTTTAAAATTCTTACTGACTGTTTAACCACAAAGCATAATTTTTTATAGGACTCTGGCTTCTCAAATTTAGAAAATAACATAACTGGCAATGAAGAATTATTCACAGAGTTGGCCTCCATTTTGAGCCACAAAGGGGTTGTAGGTGTCTGATTATCCAGGGATCCTTGGTGCCAGAACATCAACGCCCTGACATTGGCAGCCAAGTAATAGTGTTTAAATACAGGCAGGCCCAGCCCTCCCTCTAACCTGGACTTCTGTAAGTGTGCTTTTGAAATTCTGGCATTTTTACCATTCCAAACATAGGACAGAGTAATTGAGTCCAAGTCTTTAAAAAATGCAGCAGTGAGGTAAATGGGTAGATTTTGACATAGGTACAAAAATTTGGGGAGGGAGATCATTCTAATTGAGTTGATGCGACCAATCATTGATTAGGGAAGAATTTTCCAACATTCAATATTTTGTTTTAATTTCAAAATAAATTCTGTGAAATTCAGTTTAAATATCAGTTTCGGATCCCTGGGTATGGTCAGACCTAGGTAGGTGAAATGGTCAACTATTTTGAAAGGGACACTTTGTAAAAAACCAGGTGAATAAGTATTGGAAAGAGGTACTTTTTGACCAGTTGATCGTGTATCCTGATATTTTACCAAAAGACCCGATCAATTCAAGAAGAGCTGGAACTGATTTTCCGCATTGCGTAGATACAATATAACGTCATCAGCATATAAACTGATGAGTGTTTTCACACCTCCAACCTGAAGTCCCTCCACCTGCGGGTGTTCTCTTATTTTTACTGCGAGAGGCTCTAATGCAATAGCAAAGAGTGCCGGAGACAATGGACAGCCTTGTTGAATGGAGCGTTGTAAAAAAAAGGGGGCTGACCGATCACCATTCGTCAGAACAGAACAGCATGGCGCTTTATACATCAGTTTCACCCAAGAAATAAAAGTTTCCCCAAATCCAAATCTGCGCAGTGATTCAAACATATAAGGCCACTCAACTTGATCAAAAGCTTTGTGTGCGTCAAGTGACAAAATTGAAGCTCCATTAGTGTCGCTAAAATCAGAATAAATAGTGTTCAGTAGCCGCCTAACATTAAAAAAAGAGAGTCTGTTGGGAATAAATCCTGTCTGATCAGGATGGATGATAGAAGCCAAATATTTGTTCAATCTAGTAGCCAAGATTTTAGTTATTACTTTGCGATCGAAGTTTTGAAGAGCAATTGGTCTGAAGCTTGCAGGATCGGTTTCATCTCTGCCCTTTTTTAAAATTACAGAAATGTTTGCTTCACAAAGAGTTTTTGGCAATATTTCATTATTCTTAGAATTATGAATCATCCTAAGCATAAGTGGTGAAAGGATATCACAAAACCTCTTATAGAATTCTGCACAGTACCCATCGGGCCCAGCAGCCTTACCCGATGGAAATGACTTTATGGCATTAATGACTTCTTGCAGAGTAAACTCCGAATCGAGATATTTGGTGGCATCATCACTCAATTTAGGCAATGATGTGGTGTCAAAAAAATCATTTAGATTGGATTGTGAAATATTGTTTTTTGAAGAGTAAAGCTCAGCATAGAATTCACTGAAACAATGGTTTATCTCAGCAGGATTGGTTAGAATAGTGCCCGTTTTGGACTTAATACCACGAATTGCTCTTGAAGCTTGGGCACCTTTAAGTTGTTGTGCTAGGAGTTTGCTGGGTTTATCTCCAAGCTCAAATTGTTTCTGCCTCAATTTCAAAAGTAGATTCGTAACTTGGCTGCTCATGATACTATTGTATTCATATTTGAGCTTCAATATCTCTTTATAATGATTCGGTGATTTAGAATTTTGGTAAATTCTTTCCAAAGCAGGAAGAGTGTTGTTAATTTCACAAAGTCTCATCTCGCTTTTTTTTTTAATGGCTGAGGTGTAAGAGATTATATCACCACGCAAAACTACTTTTAATGTCTCCCACAGGGTTGAATCAGACACTTCACCATTATCATTTAGTTCTATGAAGTTCTTCAATTTAGAAGTTATATTCTTAATAAAGTTGTCATCACTGAGAAGGTTTGGATTAAAACGCCAAGAGTAAGTCTGTTTTGGAAGGGAAATATTTAACGACATTGCTAAGGGGCTGTGGTCAGAAATCAAAATATTATGATATTTGGAATTTGTGATCTGAGAAATAAGGTTAGAGCTAGTCAAAAAATAATCAATCCTACTGTATGATTTGTGGACATTTGAGTAGAATGAATACTCTTTGTTTGTAGGATGCTGAATCCTCCAAATATCAACTAAATTTCTAGTTCTTAAAAGGTTGTTTAGAAGTTTTACAGATGCAATTTCTGGTGCCGAACGTGTAGATAACCTATCCATGAAAGGATCTAGATAGCAGTTAAAATCCCCGGCTATTATTATGTTGGAGTCACTATTGTCTGGAAGCAGATCAAAAACCTTCCTGAAAAAATTGGGATCATCTGTGTTCGGACCATAGATATTAAGCAGGGTTAATGAAAATGAATTTATAGTACCAGAAACCAATATGTATCTACCATAAGGGTCATTGTTAACAGCAGTTACTTGAAACGGAGTATTTTTTCGAATCAATATCGCTACACCACGAGCATGCGAGGTAAATGGCGACTGATATATCTGAGATATCCAATTACACTTCAATCTATGCTGCATGGCTGTTTTTATATGCGTCTCTTGCAAAAAGATTATATCAGCAGAAAGAGATTTCAGATGTTTAAAAACTTTACCCCTTTTGACTGCGCTACCAAGCCCTTTTACGTTCCATGATATCAGTTGTAACTCTTTTCTTCCCACACCCATTTTACCATATGCTTGAGTCATCTTGAAAAAAATAGAAAAAATACAATATCTGTTGCAATACCAAATACAAACAACAAGTAACACATGTGCATCTGAGCCAAACAAAAACAACAAGAACAACACAGACCCACCCCTCCCTCACCTCCGCGTCCCCTGAACCTGACGCGTATCTTCCCCTCCTTGCCATAACGGGAGCTGCTGGACAAATAGTAGGCTCAACCCGAACAGCGCCCCCCACCACAACTTGAGTATTAGTTAGAAAATTGAAAGCTACGTTACATCTCGGAAAAACAAAATGAAATGCGGCTGTTGGAAAATTGTCCTGCGTTTCAACACATTTATTGTCATGGGCCTGAAGAATCTATTAACACGCAGTTTAAAAAAACAGAAGAAAATTCAACAGTGTGCCGCATTTCACATAGAACGACGAAATGCTCACCTTGAAAGAACAAAAAAGTAAAAAAGGTCATCTCCTTCTTTAACCATCTGTCGAAGCGTCACGTTCCGTGCGTAAACGAGCCGCCTCAGCTACCGCTGGATCTTTAAAGACCTCCGGGGTACCCTCCTCTCCATCCCAGTAAACATGAAGCCTGGCCGGGTAGCGTAAGTGATGCTTAACTCCTCCATCTCTCAGGGCTTTCATCACGTCTCGGAATGCACGGCGCTGGCTCATCACTTCGTTAGTATAATCCCGGAAGAACAAAACTTTGTTACCTTTATACACCATTGGCTGCGTCCTACTCAGGCGTAGAATCAGCTCCTTCACCTGAAAATGATGAATGCGAGCCATGATGGTGCGTGGCTTGTCACCCGCCGCTGGTTTAGGTTGCAGTGAGCGATGCGCACGGTCGACTTTTAATGGAGAGGGAAAGTGTCGTTCCCCCAGAAGTTCAGGAATAAGTTTGGAAACAAAGTCAGTCGGGTTTCCTTTTTCTGAGTCTTCCTTTATACCGACAATCTTGATGTTATGTATGCGAGACCGTGCTTCTAAATCCAGTAGTTTGGTTTGGAGCTGGCTGGCGTACCTCGATAAATCTTCATACTTGGCTTCGAGCACTTCCACACGCTCGTCAAGTGCGCTGGTAGCTTGCTCCTGACTGACCATGCGGTTCTGCAGGTCAGCTTGTATGGAGGACACAGACTGTAACTTGGTGTCGAAGGCATCAAAGCGCTCGTCGAGTCTCTCCAAAATCTTCTCTGACATTTCCTTACACATTTCTTTGCACATTTCGTACATGTGGGACTTGTCATGTGAAGTGGCGGACGGAGGCTTAGCAGAGGGCTCGCTAGCATTAGCCCCACTAGCATTGGCATTGCTGACGAATCCATCGAGGGTCTTGGGCTTTCCAGGAGGGTTTCTTTGCGGCGACATTTTCAAATTGGCGAAGTTCAACAGAAGAGATAGGCGAGTGACCAATAAAATACCAGGTCTCGAACAATTTTCTAGTGATTTTAGATGATTTGCACGAGTTGCGGTGGAGAGCACAAGCTAGACACGTCTACATCCCACGCATGCGCACTGGCGCTCCCCGATGATGCCCTCACTTTTAAACCTTTTATTGATGCACTTGTGAAGAAATTAAAAATTAAGCTGGGTTTTTTCTTTCGAAATAAGACATGTTTTTCTTTTGGGGTTAAAAGGCGCCTTGTCTCTGCCACTTTTTTATCCGTCTTAGATTATGGTGACCTTTTTTATATGAATGCTACCTCTTCGTGTCTTGAAAAGCTGGACTCAATATATCATGCCTCCCTGAGGTTCATCACAAACTGTAGAGCTCTGACACATCACTGTGAGCTGTACGCTCGGGTGGGATGGTCCTCTCTGTCCACTAGGAGGCAGTGTCATTGGTACACCTTTATTTACAAGGCTCTTCTGGGGCTCCTGCCCTCTGACCTCTGTACATTACTCACACAGAGGAGCACAGAGTCTTATGCTCTGAGGTCCAATGAGCATCTGTTACTTACTGTGCCTTTTGTCCACACAGAGTTTGGAAAAAGAGCTTTTGTCCATGCAGCCCCTTCTGCTTGGAACATGCTCCAGCGAGACCGAGCTTTTGTCTTTGAATGCTTTTAAATCAAAACTCAGAGTTTTCGAGACTGCCTCAATCACCTGTAAATGTTTTACTTGATGTGTTTAGTCTGTATATCTGTCATTTTTTTATGTAATTGTATCTATCTGTTGTGTTTATGTGTAACTTTGCTGCCTCTTGGCCAGGACTCCCTTGAAAAAGAGATTCTTAATCTCAATGGGATTTTTCCTGGTTAAATAAAGGTTAAATAAAAAAAAAAAAGGAAGATGGCCGCAAGACCAGTTTCTGCGTGACTTGGGCACATACTTTTACAACAAAAACTCAGTAAATTCTAATCTGATCACGAATATTACTGAATACAACGTTGGTTAAACATTTGTGCAGCGCTGCTCATTGGAATAATGGCTGATAATACGAGACAACGTAAGGTAAAAGAAACTGAATCCGACAATGCCAACGCTGCGCTCCTCAATGAGATGAGGTCTCTGGGAGCAAAAATGGACAACCTACAAGCCACTCTGGAGGAACAAATGAACATTAAATTTGACACACTGAATAAACGCTTGGAGACGCTCATTGCCGAAAGTCAAGCAAAAATAAAGCAAGAGCTGGAAACAGCCGCAGCTAAAATGCGAGCTGATTTGGACACGGAGGTGGGGATATTGCCAGATCCAATTACCATAAAAATTGTTTAACACTAGCAAACCCATGGAGGTGCCATTTGGCACTTCTACCTAAAAAGCCCACCACGGTGCCAAATGACTCCAAGGATTTTAGCTAACAAACTAAATCACCTGTGAACGGCCAACTTTGTTATGTAAATAAGGCCATTATAACAGGCTGAGCTGAAGTTGCTCAACCACTTTACTTTGTCTTCTTCGGGAGAGGGAGGATCTGAGTTAAAATGAGTTAAATCTAGTGTCATGCTGACTTTAGTTAAAAAATAATAATGAAAATAATAAAGTGAATTGAAAGAAAACAAACGAGCAACGTCATTCAATGTATAAATTTACATTGTTTACAAAATAAATATGCTACTTACAGTTTTTCTCAGTGTCTTTGGTGCATTTATCACATAATTCTTCACATTTGCACGACAGTTAGTGCATTTATCAGAACAATTAGTACAAACTGCAAAATCTGTCTCAAAATAATAAGTCTTAACAACATGGAGTATGAACAACAGTCAAATGACTTCGTCACTTTTTCATTGTGACACTTTACTCTCTGTGTTTTCAAAGCAAAAAATCAGATCTTGGTGAGCACTGTACAGCTGAAAACTACAGTAAAGTTACACACAACTGTATGAAGAAGATGACAAAGTCTGGGATCGCGTCTTTAATTCAGACAGAAGACATGTTTTATTGTCGATGGTAGAGACAGCACGAACAAAGCACACAATCACAGATACAAGAGAATGCAAGTGTATTATACAGAGCGGAGGCATGGAGACCTCCAATCAGCAGCTGCCACGGTGCCATGTAGCTTGGCCTTCAGATAGACAAAACATAAAGTGGAAAAGTACAGGCTTCTGCACATTGATAGAATGATGAGTTTAACTTTAACACAAGTTGCTTCAAAGTGTTATGAAATCTCACATTCCCCCCTCTGGTCATACATCCACGTGTGACCATCAGGATCGATAAACAGCAACATAACATCATATCTCAATACTTCAAAAACTCATAAACTCTGTACTTCAAAAAACTCAGAACTCGGAATACTTCAAAAACTCAGAAAACTCATAAAACATGTTCAGATCTTTCATAAAACTTGTCAACAATCTTCAGTAAAATACCAAACTTCATCAGTCGATGGTCGTTCCAGATATTGCTTTGAAAACAGTCTCTCCCACTTCTCCTGTTGGTTTCTTCAGGCTGCATTTGTGTCGAGCCATGAATTCTTCTGTGACGTGTCTTTCAATCACACGTTTCAGCTTCAGTGTCCAGATTCAGCAATTCAATTCAGTCCAAATTATGTCCAAATTCAGAAATCCAGATTGTTCCAAATTATGTCCAAATTGTGTAATCCAATTGTTCCAAATGGTGTCCATGCAAAAGAGGACAATGGTGTTGTCCATGTCTCAGCAGCTCACAGCCTGACTGGAATCAGGGGCTGTGCAGATTGTCCAAGTGTGCTGGTCCAGATGCATTCTCTTGAGGTTTTTCAGTTTTGGCTTGAAAAAAAAAACACTTTTTGTGTAAAAAAAAAAAGTCTTCTGTTCCCTAGATGTTACAGACAAGGCCCGCATCCTTCCACCACCTGAAGAAGATGACAAAGTCTGGGATCGCGTCTTTAATTCAGACAGAAGACATGTTTTATTGTCGATGGTAGAGACAGCACGAACAAAGCACACAATCACAGATACAAGAGAATGCAAGTGTATTATACAGAGCGGAGGCATGGAGACCTCCAATCAGCAGCTGCCACGGTGCCATGTAGCTTGGCCTTCAGATAGACAAAACATAAAGTGGAAAAGTACAGGCTTCTGCACATTGATAGAATGATGAGTTTAACTTTAACACAAGTTGCTTCAAAGTGTTATGAAATCTCACATGTATTTAGTGAGAGTAAAAGAACATTTATACTGTATGTACTGTATGTGTGTGTGTGTTTGTGCATGTATGTATTTACTGTGTGTGTGTGTTTGTGCATGTATGTGTTTCGATGTATGTCTGTGTACTGTATGTCTTTCACATATTTACTGCATATGCTCTTTGCAATTCTACAGCATTGTGCAACAGAAATACAGTCACATACATAGAGCAAACATACAGAATATCATTATGGTAGAACTGTGACAAATGTAAACAATAAAACACACACCTCGTCATGAGTGAAGCTGAAATTCGAAATTAGGAAAGATTTTCTGGATATAAAAAGATAAAGTAATGTATGAAATTAGTTTGACAGATTTTGGTTTTGAACAGTTTTGTATGTGATGACCAAAGCGATGAAATGAGGACTACTGGTTTTACAGAAACTATTCAGTCGTGATAAGTATGTTTCATTCTGACTGACAGGACAGAAGCAAATGTTAATGTTATAAAACAGCAGAGAACTGTATGAAAGTAACTGATACATGTCCAAAAGCATTTGTAAAGTGTTCAAAGGAGAAACTGCCGCGATGATGTCACACACGACTCAATGTTGTGGAGGTTCTACCGTAATGATTTTTTGTATGTTTTTCTACGTAAATACTGTATGTGTACTATTTTTGTTGCAGAATGCTGTAGAATTGCAAAGAGCATAAGCAGTAAATATGTGAACATACAGTACATACATATGTATCACTAAATACAGTCACAATGAAAACATGACTAAATCATTTGACTGTTGTTCATAAACACTGATGTCAGGACTTATTCTTTTGAGACACAGACCGTTTCATTGACATGAAGACTTTCTTTTGAGGAATTAAGTTCATTTTGAGAAAGTGACTTTTTAGCAGGTTATCCATGAGGTTTTGCAGTTTGCACTCATTGTTCTGAGAAATGCACTATCTGTTGTTAAAATGTGAAGAATTATGTGAAAAATGCACCAAAGACACTGAGAAAAACTGATTACAAAATATATACAGCGCATTCTCAGGGTACACAGCACTGCCATGGCATGTGTATCTGTGGTCTCACAGACTACTGTAGCTCTTGCAGCTCTCCCTCCCCCGCACGAATAAACAAAGCCCACCCCAGCCCCCTGCTGTTATAAGTCATTACCTACATTTGCAAATCAATACATGCAAATGTTAGCAGCCAACCTAGCAAGTTAGCTCCCTGTTCTCAAAACAGGGGGCAATTTCGGTTGGGTTTTCTAGTGTTAACAAATAACTTCAATAACCCTAAAAAATTCTGGAAACACATCAACAATATATCCGGTAAATCGAATTCTGACTCCAACAATATTCTGATTAATGATGCACTCACAAATGATCCCACTACCATTGCCAATGCCTTTAATCATCATTTTTCTCATTTGCCTCATGTCCAATCTCCTCCTCACTCCTCCACTCCACCCAGTGCCGTTCCTTGTGGCAGCAGTTTCTCTTTTAGACCAGTGAGTCCAGCTGCAGTAGAATGCATACTAAACGGGCTGTCTCTGGGCAGTGCCGGTCCTGATGGCATAGAGACAAGGTACATTAAAATGGCCTCTCATGTTCTGTGCTTTCCTCTGGCAGATCTATTCAACCTTTCATTTAGCTCTTGTGAAGTTCCCTCTGCCTGGAAACGTGCAAAAGTCATCCCCCTTCACAAAGGTGGTGACATCAGTGACATGAACAACTATAGGCCCATCTCAATAATCAATAGCATTGTAAAAGTATATGAAAAAATAGTTTTTAATCAATTATCTGAACACATATCATCTAAAAATCTTCTATCTCCACTCCAATCTGGCTTCAGGAAACATTTTTCAACAACATCTACATTACTAAAGTTTTCTAATGACATTTTTTCTGGTTTTGACAACTCTTTTTTTACTGGTGCTTTATTTATAGACTTATCAAAAGCCTTTGATATGGTTGACCATTATCTTCTTTTAGACAAACTTCACTGTATTGGTCTGGACAGATCCTCACTCCTCTGGTTCAATTCCTATCTACATCACCGTCAACAATGTGTCTTTTACAATGGTAGCTACTCTGGTTTTTCTTTTATCGAGAGAGGTGTGCCACAAGGTTCGTCACTGGGTCCACTTCTTTTCTCCATTTTTATTAATGACCTTCCCCTTGCCTGTACAGACTGCAGCATTCAACTTTATGCAGATTATACAGTGATTTACACATCCAATGATAACATCAGCAATATTCAACAATCTATCCAACATGACTTTAATTCTGTTCAACACTGGCTAAAATCTAAAAAATTATTACTGAACAAATCAAAAACAGTTGTCATGTTGTTCCAGAAAAAAATGCATCCTATTTTCTCTAACAAAATTCAGCTTACTTTTTCAGACATGTGTCCAGTTCCAGTCGTTGATAAATTTAAATATCTTGGTTTGTGGCTTGATCCTTCTCTATCATTTAACATTCATATACAAACAATCACAAACAAAATTTCATATAGACTAAAAGTACTTTACCATTCATTGAACTGTTTTGGTTTATCTGTTAGGAAGAGGATCATTTGTCAACTGATTTTACCTATTCTTGATTACAGTGATATAATTTATCAAAACATTACTGCCTCTGTCCTCCAGCCCCTGAACGTCACCTACCACAGCCTGTGCAGGTTCATTCTCCGTTGTCCCTTTAGAACGCACCACTGCCTTCTGTACGAGCAGCTTTCCTGGCTCTCTCTGTCCTCCAGACGTCAGCTACATTGGCTATTATTTATTTTTAAATGCATTAATCTTAGTTTTCCTGACTATTTAAAACAATATTTGATTCCTTTTCAATCCTCCTACAGTTTGCGTCATGCAAATCAGTCCTTCTTTTCAGTCCCAAGATTGAAAAAAGAAGTCGGGAAACATGCATTTAAATTTAAAGCCCCATCTGATTGGAACAGTTTGCCCTCATCTGTTCGCTCTCTCAGTTCTCTGGCTCAGTTTAAGAATGCTCTTGTGCGAAATCTCCAAAATCAGTGTAATTGTTTTTGATTTTGGGTTACATAATCCTATGTTTACTGCCTTTAATATTAATAAGTTTAGTATTTTCACTATTTATTGTCTGCATCAAATATATTTACAACAGTCATGGTGTGTGCGTGTGAGTGTGTGTGAGTTTGTTTTGTGTGAGTATTGTTTATTGTTGCTTTTTGTCCTTTGTCTTTATTGTTTACTTTATTGTATTGCATTGTATCTGTCACCTCTGTTACCTTTTTGAGGACCCCCTCGAAAACGAGATGTTTCATCTCTAGGGGCTTATCCTCCAAATAAATAAATAAATAAATAAATATTGTGCGCAAGAATTAAGAATATAGAGTCCAAATTAGTTTGTACAAGGGCGCTGAATTTTGACCCGAGTGTGTCTGTAATCATCGTGGGCCTACAGCAGGAAGATAATAATGCCTTGCATCTCATTGGGCCCATTGTCGTGTCCCTGATCACTCTGCCTTGTGTCTTAAATTTCGTGTTGGAGAGTTTCACTATAGGTTGCCAATTAATGAAAATGATTTAAGACCAGTGAAGACAAAAATTCAGAGACATTACACTATAGATTTTCTATCTTCAAATTATTGTAAGAATGTCCTGAAGAATATTCAAACAGCTCCAAAAGAAAAAACACACATACATGTTGTCCATACTATTATGAATCACTTTGTGAGATGCTGTACAAGGAAATGGGAGGAGCTGTTAGAGTGGGGGGCAGTGGGGGGGACAGTAGGGGGCAGTAGGGGGCAGTGGGGGGACAGTAGGGGGCAGCATCATAGGCCTAAACAATACTTTAAAATAAACCAACCTTACTGGAACCAAGAGCTACATGCTCTTTGGGCGAAAGTGAGATCAACAGAGAAACTTTATCTAAAATGTAAGGATTCAAACGAAAGAAAACTATTAAAAACTGTTTTTAAAAAGCATCAAAACAATTTTGATAAGAGATTAAAAATATTCAAAAGACGGTTTAGAAGAGGACAAAGCCTTCAGCTCCAAAGTTTACAATCAAACTCAAAATGTTTCTGGAAGGAAATTAATAAATTGGGCCCTCAGAAAATGAAATCTATTCCAATGGAGATTATTACAGCTAATGAAGAGGTGAGCTATGATAAAGAATTAATATTATCAAGATGACAACAAGACTACAGCGCCCTTTACGGTTGTAAAAAAACATTATTTTCAAAACATTCTATTTTTCAAAGAAATCTGTTACATAAAAAACTGTTCAGAAGTTGAGATGGTATTTGTTGAATTTAGCCAGAGTGATGTGTTAAATGCTGACATCACAGTGGAAGAAGTTCAAAGAGTCATATGTTCAGCAAAAGCCCATAAAGCAGTAGGTGTTGATGAGATTCCCAACGAGGCTCTTAAGGCTCCACCTCTGCTCAATGTGCTGCACAGTCTCTTCCAAGCATGTTTTAAACAGGCAGCCATTCCTTCAGCCTGGTATCAGTCAATTATTAAACCCATACCTAAATCAGCCAAATATGATCCTCGAGTGCCCCTGAATTATAGAGGCATCAGTCTGATCAGCACTGTGTATAAGTTGTACTCGGGAATCCTCAACAGTAGACTCAATGACTTTTTGGAGATAAATGAGACCCTGGCAGACGAACAGAATGGCTTTGGAAAAGGCAGGGCCTGCATTGACCATATGTATGTTTTATCATCTGTGCTGAGAGCAGGGGCGGCGCCAGGGGGGGGGCTAGGGGGGGCTTGAGCACCCCCTGAGATTGTCAAAGCACCCCCAAAGCACCCCCAAAGATTTATGCCTCTTAATCATAGGAGAACTAGTTATCTCTACAGACATTCATAGTGCATTATAGGCTGTTTCATGTGAAAAGGAGTATGTGGGACAAATAATAATTTTAACTAAAGGAGAGTGCCTGGGCCGCCCAGGCTAAGACCCATTTTTACGTTAATACGGCCGTGCATCAGAACGCATGGTCAGCGACGCTCCATGTCGGACTGAGCGTGACTCCATGTTCATTATAGTCATGACATTTACCATCGATTTTATCAATCATTATGAGACAATATTAAGTTAGGCTGTAAATAAAATAAAATTCAAAAAGCTCACATTCGCGCAGAGCAATTTCCCGCGCCTGAAGTGTTGTTTGTCCTAATGTCCTTACTGTCCGAATGCTATAGTGGCCCAAGTGGCCCAAGCGTTTTTTGGTCCCTAAACGACCCCGAGTGGAGTCTACGGAAAATGAGTCGGGGAATGCCGTTTGTACAAACTCAAAATCTATGCCAAACACCTGTGAGGAAATCTCTTCGAACTCGGAGGAGGAGGAGGAGGAAGGTAAAAGAGTGCCACCGCGGGCCGAAGCTAATGAGGCGACCGATGCTAATGAGGCGACCGATGCTAATGAGGCGACCGATGCTAATGAGGCGACCGATGCTAATGAAGCTGCAGGTTCTAATGTGGTTTCGGGTACTGCTGGTCAGGAGTCTCAGTCTTGTACTGATATCAGCGCACATCCACAAAATGGTCCCAGCCAACCACTCCTACAGAAATACCCCACAAGACAATATGGAGCGCAGCAGCGCAGTTTTAATAAAGGCTGGTTTGATCTATATTCATGGCTCGAGTACAGCGTTACCAAAGACTCAGTTTGGTGTTTTGCATGCCGTCATTTTTTAAAACGTGGGGGACCTGGGTTTCATCATCTGGAGGCAACTTTTACAACAAATGGATTTTGTAATTGGCGAAAGGCAACACAAACTCTGAGGGGTCACAACAAAAGTGCTGGTCACAAATTTGCAATGGACCATTGGGGTGAATTTAAACTAAAGGGGACCAGAGGATCAAAAATGGCCAATTTGTTAGACAAAGGACACTCGCAGTTAGTACAAGAAAACAGACAATACATTGGAGCTGTAGTTGAGAGCCTTCGCTATACGGCCTGTCAGGGCATAGCGCAGCGAGGCCACAGAGAAGATGAGGAGTCCGCAAACAAAGGGAATTTTTTGGAGCTCTTACATGTCATTGCTAAATTTGACAAAACAGTGGCCAAGAAACTTTCAAACATAAGTGGGAATGCAAAGTACACTCACCATGATATCCAGGATGAAATAATATCCGTTATGGCTGATATAATAAGAAGCGAAATCAGTGATGAAGTGAGAGAGGCAGAGCACTTTGCGCTTCTTGTTGATGAAAGCAAGGACGTCAGCAAAAAAGAACAAATCTCAGTTATTGTCCGTTATCTGCATCCACAGTCGGGAGATGTGCGTGAAGAATTTCTGCATTTCACCCCTGCAGAAGGCCTTGACGCGGAGTCGTTACTCTTATCCATCAAACGCACTCTGAGCCAATGTAAAATAGATGCCAATCACTGTGTTGGGCAGTGTTACGACGGAGCTTCTGTTATGTCGGGGTCAAACAATGGAGTTCAGGAGAAATTCAGAAAAGACGTCCCGTAAGCTATTTACATACACTGTTACGCTCATAGACTGAATCTAGTGTTGGTAGACTGTGTGCGCAACGTGAAACCAGCTACTGAGTTTTTTGAAACAGTAGGGATGCTCTACAGGTTTTTTTCGGGATCTGTTGTTCATGACATTTTTTTGAAGAAACAAAAAGAACTTAATCCATCTCAATGCGTTGAATTAAAACGGCTGAGCGACACAAGATGGGCATGCCAATACAATGCAGTTGCCGCACTCAAGAGCACCATTCCTGCCCTACAAGCCACACTACGCAGCATCCTGGAAGGATCCAATGCGCATAGGAGGGCAGAGGCGAGAGCTATTAGCTCCCTCATTGATGAGTCGTTTATCTTGCATCTTGTTCTTTTTGAAGATGTACTCAGAACAACTAAGTTTATGTCAGATCAGCTACAGGCTCCCAATTTTGATCTTGTAGCAGCAGATGACTTGGCTCAATCAGTTATCACTGCGCTTTCAGAAAAACGCACTGACCAGACATGGGAAAGGTTAAGACAGAAAGCAGAGAGCATGTGTGTCGACAGCAGTGTTGGGCACGTTACTTTGAAAAAGTAATTAGTTATAGTTACTAGTTACTTCTCCCAAAAAGTAACTGAGTTACTAACGGAGTTACTCCACTATAAAAGTAACTAGTTACCAGTAAAAGTAACTATTGCGTTACTTTTTCGTTTTGTTCTGGAACATAATGTGCACCCGACGTGCGCATTTTTACCTTTAACAGTGCCAATATTTCCATCTAGAAAAGTCTGTTTTGCTGAAGTCCTGTTCACTCTTCATCTCTCTCTGTGCACTAAGCACTAAACACCGGTGACGAGCGGTGAGGCTGGTGAAGCACTGACTTCAGTCCAATCAGATGAACATATACATCATATAAATCAAGTGGACAATTTGTTTGGCTACAGCAAAATATGTTTTATGCCCGCATTGTTTGTTCATACAAAACGCAAAACTATGAGTTATGGGTCTTACCTTATAGCTATACCTTATAAATGACCTGCACAGTCCACTTCGGTTCAGACCAGTTCCTTGTTTAAATCCAGTTAATGGTTTGAGCGTAGATATGTAATCCTCCATTTGGAAATGAGTCCAATGAGTTTTAAAAAGTAAAACAAAACGCGTGTGTCCTCCATAAACTCCTGTGTTTTGCTAGCGGCAACCGAGTGCATCCAATTTCTAAAATCAACCGTCTTACACTTCACCTCTCTTTCTTATCATTCCTATAGTAATTGAAAAATTACCCTATTTGCATTTTAGATTATGTAAAAATGTGTTATATGTATGTTAGCCAAACCTGTTGCTGTCCTTAGCAGATAAACCAGGAAGAGCAAGGAGCTTATCGATGGAATTGTATGCAGCCTTCTGCGCTCACATGCGCTACTCTGTGGCTGACCTCACGGTGATACAAGCCGTGGTTGAGCGCGATTTGTTTCAAAAACACAATTTATGAGCCATCCTCTCAACTGTAGACATGTAGATTGTAAAGGAAATATGTTTTACATCAGCCAATAATTGCTGAGAGGTTTTCTCATCCTCCCTTCTCTCATGACAACACGTTCATTGTGCGTCTTGAGTAAAGCCTAGAGTATACTTGCGCGGCGTGGCTTACGTTAGCGGTTGCGGTGGACCTACGTAAGCACAATTGATGTGATACTGGCGCGTTCCCCTTACGGAGTTTTGAGGAGAATGTTGTAATCCCACAACAAACCACATGAGGGCGATCACACAGGAGCGGTCCCATTTACGCTGCTACTTTGTCCTCTTCAGAACAACAATAGCAAACAAAGCTGTTTGAGCTCATTACACGTGTTTCTACTGCAGGTTTATGTGATAGTTTTATGGATTCATTATTTTATAAGTCATTTCAACTGTGATGCTGTGAATAAAGACACAGTTCTTGTTGGAAACATAGTTATTATTAAATAGTTTTCAGCACAAACAGCAAAACAATAATAGTGGTAAATATCTGAGACAAACATGAACGATTTACGAGTGCAGGAGGAAAGCAACAAACGCAGCTACGATTCAAACAAAGACAGGAACAGTGCAAAACAAACGACTGCACAGTTTATAAGTTATATATATGTTAGATATAAGTTAGATATATGTTATATATATGTTAGATAGTCCACAGTCTCCTGTATATCAGGCTCTGAGCCCAAACTGCTTTTCCTTTGAAGCACAAAGCTCTCTGCTCCATAGTGCCTCGTCCATGCTCCTGCTGCAGCCGCTCCGTGCTACCTTCCAATACACACACACGGACCAATCACAGCGGAGATTCCTTGCGGCGACCCTTACGTAGTTAGAAAATTTCGATGCTGCAGGACAGGCAACGTAAGGGCCTTGCGGTGACCAACGTGTTGCGCAAGTGACGTTACGTCACCTCCGTAAGCTCCGCGCCGCGCGAGTATAAACTAGGCTTAACGCGCAGTAACGGGATGTCGGAAATGATAACGGCGTTATAGTTACTGTCAAAGTAATTAGTTAGATTACTCGTTACTGAACAAAGTAACGGCGTTAGTAACGCCGTTACTAGTAACGCCGTTATTCCCATCACTGGTCGACAGTGGAATAAGACAGACCCAAAAGGAGAAACGCCAAGTTCAAACAAGACATCTGGAGGGATTTGTTGTTGAGGCTCCTATAGAAAGGGCGCGTACCAATGACATGGATGTGCTTAAAGTAGCGTCATTCTTTCCTGTGTTAGACAAACTGAGAGTGGAGATGAAGCGGCGTTTTTCTACAGAAACAAACAACGTGATGAAAGGTGTACAGGCGCTCTCCCCAAAACATACAGGTTTTCTGGACAAGCAACTACTTCTGCCCATGGCCCAGCATTATGGAGTGCGAGAGGAAAACCTGTCTGCGGAACTACATCAAGTCCGTCGGCTTCTAGAAAGGAAAAAGCAACAGGGACATGCTGTAAAAAGCCCACAGGATTTTCTGCACCTTTTGCGCCCGTACAAAGAGGCCTTTATGGATTTGTTCAAACTGATCAGCATATCCTTGACCCTTCCTGTTACATCAGTGAGCTGTGAGAGAAGTTTCTCGTGCCTGCGCAGACTGAAAAATTATTTAAGAAACAGCAGCGGGGACACACGGACCAGTAACCTGGGACTATTGGCCATTAACTCTGCTAGAGCGAGGGCCATGGACAGTGATAGGATAATTAACGCCTTCGCTGTCAATCACAACAACAGACGTATTGTGCTGTTATGAAGACGTATAAATTGTAAGTATAAATGTTTTGAATGGTATATGCTAAGTCTAGTTATTTTGATAAAGGCGTTGATTTGAATGTTTGCTTTGTCTGGCAGTCTCGAGGGAAAGAATGCGCCTACAAGAAACATCCAAATAGTAGGCTATGGGCACAGCCTTGAAAGGAATACAAAAATACAGGCTTTATATCCCTCATTAAATGGACAGTTTTTCGAAGTTGTACTTGATAGCTTATAGGGGACTGTTTTTGTTAGGCCTATGTGTTTATTTTGGTAAAGTGTGTTTCCCTCGGCACAAATAATAAAAATTACAAGATTTTTTTGTTCATCATCGTTCGATTTATTAATCAACAAATAGAGATTATTTTGATTATATTATTATGCTTGATGCAACTCTTGCATGCAGCCAGGGTGTGTTTAAAAGGGGACATTCGTAAAGATGACATGCTGTTATGGCACACTGGAACACACATGTCCTTCCCACGCGGGTCACATAAAAACAACTCCGCGGTGGCTCTTCTGTGCGATGTGCCTCATGGTAAACAAACGCGGATCCGGACGGAGCGCATCCTCCTGTCCTCCACCGCGCGCAACAGTTCCACCGGCTGGCGGCTGCTGACGCTTTTGCAATCCACTCTGTAGGATATTTTCCCATGCGCTTGCGGTGGAATACACGCGTACATACGTTATTATTGGATTATGTTGCCCAATACAACTGACTGCGCACATAACATGTTATGTTGAGCACCCCCAGGCAAGACGTCAGCACCCCCTAAGCACCCCCTATGACAAATGTCTGGCGCCGCCGCTGGCTGAGAGCCAGGCTCCAAGAGGGAAAATCTACATTTGCCTGCTTCATCCATTTTCAAAAAGCATTTGATTGGGTTAACAGGGATCTTCTGTGGTATAAGTTGCTGGGATATGGTGTTAAAGGAAGGTTTTATGACGCAATCAAGTCCCTCTACCAGGCCCCTGTTGCCTGTGTGCAAATTAACTATTTAAGAACGGGTTGGTTTCCCACCCCTTTTGGAGTGAAACAGGGCAATGTATTATCACCAACTTTATTTTCTTTATATATAAACGACCTGGTGAATGAAATTAAAGAAGCCAACCTTGGTATTTGTATTGATGACTTCAACTTAAGTCTCCTGTTGTATGCAGATGACATTATTCTGCTGGCAGAGACTGACGACAAATTACAGAAGATGTTAAATATTTTAAGTGCATGGTGTAGAAAATGGAGACTGGCCCTAAACAAAGATAAAACACAAATTATGCATTTCCGTAAAAAGAATCAGTCACCAAGTACATATTCTTTCCTTTATGACCTTTCTCCATTAACCTACACACGTTCATATAGGGGGCGACAGTAGCTCAGTTGGTAGAGCATTACTTTGAGCTTCGAAACATTTTATTTGAAAAAGTAAATGCTTCTAACCCAGAGGTCTTTTGGTGGCCGGAGGGAGAAATTATGAACTGGTTGTACTGCCATGAAGTTTTTGAGGTTTATGCTTTCATATGAAAGGGTTACAGGTTGAGGAGGAGTATCCAGGTACTAAGGAGGGTATAGCAGCAGGTATACGGAGGTGATGAAGATGTGTATCTGTGCTTTTCTGGAATCAACACAAAAGATCAAATGTTTATTAAAAACAGCCTTTTAGACTATGAACACAGATACACTGTAATCAATGAGTGACATTACAACCGTAGCCCACAAGGGGGCGCTCTAACTCTATAAATGGTGTTACGTGGAACTTTATA